TGTTAGGTAGGGGAAACACAGAGGAATAGGCATGGTCTCTGCCTATGAGGAACTGAAAGTATTTGAGAAATACCTGATGTATTAACTTAATAGTGTGTATTGTAAAGAATCAGGCCTTGCCCTAAGAGTGGTCTGCCCTTTTTGCCATGCTCCAGTGAAATAGTCTCTAAACTCTTGGAATTTCCTGAGCAACGGGAATATCTTTGTTTATTCATGGTGGGTCCTTTAGGCCACATGGTATTAACCCAACTTGCAGGGAGGGAGAATGTGGAGACTGAGTTCAATCCATCATACCTATGTAACTAAAGCTCCAGTAGCAACTCTGAACACTGAAGCTCAGATAACATCCCTCTTTGGCAATACTCATTGTATATTGTCACATATCATTGCCAGGAGGGTAATACATTCTAAGGACAATGGAAGCTTTGCATTTGGAATCCTCCCAGATTCTGCCCTATGCATCTTCTTTTGGCTTAGTTTGACTTGCATCCTTTCCCCATAATGCACTGTAACTGAGTACAATAGCTTTCAGTGAGCTCCTCAACTTCTTCCAAAGAGCTATCAGACATGTTGTGGTTTGAGGGAACTCCCTGAACTTCCAGTTCATGTCAAAAGTGAGGGCAATCTTATAGAGGCCTATACCCTCAGACTTTGTAGTTTGGCTGACTCCAAACTACAAAGACCTTAGGATTGAACAAGATCTAGAAATCACCATTTCACAGGCGAGAAAAGAGGTCTAGAGATGGAAGTAACTTGTCTAAGGTCACAAAATGTTACGGTAGAGTAGAGAACAGCTCCTGAGTATTCTGAGCATGGTGTATAGCATCCTGCTATAGTTCTGAACACGAGGCTGAGCAGAGAAAAGCTCAGACTCATTTGACTACAAGGGATTTCTGTAGGAGCCCATATATTTAGGGAAGCTTATTCCTTACTATGCTTCCAGCTTGGACCTTGACATATATTTCCCTTAATAATGTTTAAACTGGGCTGGGGGCAGTGGCTCAAGCCTGTAATCCTAATTACCCAGAGGGTGGAGATCAAAAGGATGGTGATTTTGAGACCAGCCCAGGGGAAAAAGTCAGCAAGACCCTACCTTAACCAGTAGCTGGGTGTGATGGCACACACTTGTCATCTGGCTCCATGAGAAGCATATATAGGATTGCCAGAGCAGGCCAGACTGCACAAAAATTCGAGACCCTATTCCAGAAATAACTAAAAGCAAAAAGGGCTACAGGTGTGGCTCACATAGTAGAGTGCTTTGCCTAGCAAGTGCAAGGCCCTGAGTTCAAACCCCAGTACAACCCCTCCCCCAAAATAAAGTTTAAACTAGTATTTAGTCTTTATGAAATAAGGGATGCTCATCTAATTGGGAACTGGAGATCAGGAGGATTGCTGTTCGAGGCCAGCCTGGGCAAAAGTTACAGAGATCTCCATCTCAACCAATAAGCCACTTGGTACATGCCTATAATTGCACATATGTGAGAGGCATAGGTAGGAGGATGGTAGTCCAAGGCCAGCCCTGGGCAAAAATTTGAGACTCTAACCTGAAAATAACTACAGCAGAAAAGAGCTGGGGTTGAGGCTCAAGTGGTAGAGCACCTGAGTAGTCAAACCCCAGTATCTCAGAAAAAAAAAAAAAGGATGCTGCAGTTGGGAATTTGGTGTGTCCCCCTAGAGTTCATGTGCTGAAACTAAGTCCCCATTGTGAAGTACAAAGAGGATGAAAAATTAGTCTGACGATGGTGTTTAGAGGTAGAACGTTTGGGAGATGATGGTTAGGGTATCAAGGTTGTTAGGGTGAAGCCCTGGAACTGAATCCTTGTGGCTTACAGAAAGAGAGACCAGTGGACCTAGAAAGACACATACTCCCTACCTCTTAATATGTGACAGCCTGTACTGCCTTGAGACTCTGCTAGCAAGAATGTTATCACCAAATGCAATCCTTCAGCTTAGACCTCCAAAACTCTGAACCAAAATAAACCTCTTTTCTTTATAACGTAGCCTCCTTTAGGGATTTCATTTCAGTGACACAATATGGACTAGTTGAAGGGACTTATATCAAAGAACAGTTAATGCCTTTTATGGGGTGCAAAACTCTTTGGGAATTATCTCTTTACTATTAAATTTTTATACTTTTTTGATGAAACCCTTGTAGCCATAACTACATTTTCACTAGGCACCGACTAAGTTTGCAGATAAAGAACTCAACTCACAGAAACTGAGGGTTAACTGTGTGTGCCACTCTTCCTCTAGAGAAGGGACAAACAATGATCTGATTCACAGCTTACTTCTAACTATCCACTGAGGTGGACTAAAAGGCAAGACTAGGACCCAAGTTTCTTGATTCATCACATTTACAGAATTATAAAATCTAACCACAGGCCTGGCATTTTTTTTTTCAAGAAGATCCTTTGTTTGTTTGTTTTTTTAATTTTTTTTGTGTTATTGTAGTTTGAACTCAGGGCTCCTCACTTGCTAGGCAGGTGCTCTTACTGCCTGAGTCACACTTCCGACTCTTTTTGCTCTGGTTATTTTGGTTATTTGGTTTTTGCCCAGGCCAACCTGGGACTGCAATCCTTCTGATCTCACACTCTCAAGTACCTAGCATTACAGGTGTGAGCCACTGGTGACTGGTTTATGCATAAAAATCTTTTTCTTTCTTTTTTTTCTCTTTTTCCCTCGCTCCTCTCTCTTTCTATCTCTCTTTTCCTTCGTTTCTTTGCATTTTAGGCACAAACACTACCACTGAGCTACACCCCCAGACCAAGAAACAGATTCATGTACTTGGTCTGATATAAGTCACATAAAGAAGGTATGGAACAGGGCCACATATGGTGGTTCATGCCTGTAATCCTAGCTATGCAGGAGGTGGAGGGCAAGAGGATTGTGGTTCAAGGACAGCAGAGAAAAGTTAATGCAAGACCCTATCTGGAAAAGAAACTGAAAAGACAAAAGGGCTTGGGGCATGACCTAAGTGATAGAGCACTTGCCAAGCAAAGTTTAGGCCCTTAGTTCACCATTCAATACCAAAAGAAAAGAAAGTATGAAATTCACAAGAGGTAACATATGACAATGTTCCACTGCACAAGGCTCCTCTCAACTTGGGTACTCAGAGTTAATTGACCTCTCCTAGCCCAGAAGTTCCCATTTATTCAGCCTCAGTGGGGATGGAAGTATTAAACCCAAAGAAAATTTTAGAGCACAAAGATATTTTGAGAGTGTCTCATATGATGAAGAGCCAATGTTTTATTTTAGTCAGTGTTTTGGGAGATATTCCTTAAACTTTATGTTTTTATTTCCCCTAAACAGAATATAGACTGCTGACTAAAATGTTAGGATTCCCTTTCCTGATGATTCAGATTCATTGTTATGAATACCAACACTTCTATGCTATGATTATACTGTATTCGAGTGTTTCTGCCTTAAATAATACAGACTGCTTTATATCATTTTTCTCCTCTCTGCACACAGTGTAAGGCTGCAAGCCTTTTCTTCTTCCTTACTGAAGAATCTGTATAATCCAAGTGCTTTGCTTTAGAATACAGCATAATCTCAGTCAGACACTAATCTTTAGAAAAGAGAATGATGGTCTCTGAGCCTGGGGTTGTAGGGATCTGAACCCAGAGTATGCTTACTTACAAAATGACAATAGTGGGTATGAGGGTCATCTGGCTGTGATAACTGTCACTCTACTAATCACCAGGGTTGATTCAGCTGATCCGGCTGGCTGTGGATGTCCTCTTCCTCCCTCACAGCTCTATGTGCCTCCCTCCCAAAGCTGCGTGCTTAGTGGAAGAGGATGACCTTCTCAAATAGAGGAGGAGTATTCTTTGGTATAAGTAGCTATATTCCTCTGCTAGAACCTCCAAACAAACTCTCAAAATAACAATAACAATAGTTAACCTTTATTGAGTGCTTTAGTTTGTGCTTCATTTAATTTTCATAGCAACTCTATGAACCACAGATAAGGACCCTGTCCACGGTCACAAAGCCAATAAATGCAGGGTTTAGAATTCAAACTTGGGTAGCTCTCATCTCAAAGCTGACATTCTGCACTATTCTATTCTACACTCTGTCTGTAGTTGGATTCTGAAGGAAAGATTTTGAGGGAATTCTGATTTACAAATAATAAAAGTTGAGCTCCATAAAAGGTTAACAACTGTCCCCAAAGCTACATAGCTTTTTAAAAGGGGTAGGGGGGTGGGGGAACTCCTACACTAAGACCAAGTTCTTTGATTCACTGTCCCCAGTTCTTATCAATTCACTATACAAAAGCACAATGAAGAGAAGAACTTGGAGATGTCTTTGAAAAATGACTAAAGACTCTCAGGCCCAGGGTTTCTCCCTTTCTTTGGCTCATTCTAGAGTCCCAGGGCCTAATATTATACAAAAACTTCCATGTAGTTTTTCTAGTATACCTGTGGTTGGGATACTGTCACCATGATGTGACTGGCCTGACTCATGCACCGCATCAAGTAAAGAAGGCCACTTCCTCTTCCTTAGGAAGAAAAATAGATTCTGAGTTTGAAGTTTGCTTTGAAACATCCCCAGAATTAGGGATTGGCCTCTTCAAATTTTTAATACTAGCAGAAGGCTCCATCTTTCTTTACAAATATGGCAGTGAACAGCTAGTGAGTGACCTAACCCAACACTTCCTAGAGAACTATGTTTAAAATGGAGCATCTGAGTCCCAGGAGAAACAGACTCTGCTTCCCTAGAAACTTCAAGTTCAGGGAGAATATCCAGTGCTCCATCTCTACACAGTTCTACAGATATCACTATGGAATGGTATCAAATCAGGTGGCTAATGAGAAGGCCCTTGAAAGGGGAATGGGAGATAATCAAGACCTCCAGAAGGGAAGGAAGGGAAGAGAAGGAAGACAAAGAAGACTCTTAAGATCACAACAAGGCTTGTGGCTATCTGTCCTGAACTCTATTCTAGAGCCACTATTGTCTACCGCAGTGGTTCCCACTGTCCTGTGTCCTTTGCGGCTGCTTACCTGTGGCTGCTGGGTAGTCAAAGGTCTCTGAGGGGACAGGACAGGTGTCCTGGACAACAGCTGGTTCATCTTGCTGATGACTAGCTCCATGATGAGTTGTCTGTCCTCCACCTGGTGTTCCCCAATCAGTGGCATGCTACAGTCCATGACCTGGTGGAAGATGTGGCCCAGGTAAGGAAAAGGTCTGGAAACTTAAAAGGCCTTATATGGTTTTTCAGAATGGATAGGATTTAAGCCAACACAGATGTGGTGGTAATGAAGCAGGTCTTCAGCTGGAGGCATGCTCCTTGACAGAAAAAAGGACCTTTGTTCCTCCCCTGCAAACCTTTGCCTCAGGTCCCTTCCCTTTATCTCCACCCAGGTCAGAGCTCAGCAAGATGGAGAGCTCTGGTTAAAGACAGTGGAAAGAGGGAAAGAGCAAGGAAAGGGTACAGTCCAGGGCTCGAAGTCTGCAGATAGAAGAGCTAGAAGACATGAAGGCAATCCCTTTGTCTCCAGTGAACAGCAGATGGTTTTCATCCCTATGACTTTTCACCAGCACAACCTGTCTCCAAACATGGTTTGCTCACTAAATGAACAGATTCGTGTTTTGCTTCTAACCTGGGATGCCTTCTCTATTTGCCACCAATCCTCAGTCTTCCTATTTCTCAAGCCCAGATCAATGTTTTCCTCCTTCAGGAAATGTCAGCCTTAGTAGGATCATGGACTCCATAGTCCAACTCTCTCATTTATGGAAGAGAAAACTAAGGCCCATTCCAAGAAGGGAGGCGTGGCCATACAGAAGGTTACATGATAGCCTGGGGCAACTTGTGAATCCTAAAACCTCTTTAGTCTCCTGACACTAGTATTCTGGAAACACCACCAACTCCTGGGAAGGAGTTTTTCCTGTTTCCAAGAAGATTGGGCAGCAGTGTGTGTGTGTGCATGTGTGTGTATGAAGAATTCATACCACCTTGGACTTTCCTTTTAATATAAGAAAAGAAATCAGCAAAGTTGTGTTAGAGGAACAGGTTGAAAGAGATGCTAAGGAGAACTGCCTGCATTTAGGTGCTAGGTTGACACACAGAGTCATCATGTGGTCTTGGGCACATGTTCATGGTATTAGCCCTCCATTTTCTCATCTGTAAAATAAACAGCCTGAACTGATTTATTTCCAAAGGCAGCTTTCTCAGACTAAGAATGATGAAATCACTCTGGTCTTCTCAGTGGAATGGCTGGGCTAGGACCCACCCCAGGAACACAGATCTGCATCTATTACCCGTGGTGTGGCTCAGCTTAGTAGGTTGGAAAGAACAGCTTCCAACTGGGAGAGGTGTCTCATTATGCAGAGCTGCCATCTGGGACCTTCTCATAACCCAGGAAACTCTAAATTAAATGAGTTTGGACTGGCCACATGGTTTTTGAGCCAAGAATTTGGCCTCCAGCATTAAATATTATTTCTTATTTAGATATTCCTGTGGCCAAACTTACCTCAAAAATGTAGTCTTTTCCATCTTTGCCATGTACAGCTTTGACAGCACAGATGTCAAGGCCACCAAACATTTCAGAGCAGGTGTCCACCCATAACTTGTACCTGCAGGAGAGGAGAAAGTGACCTGAGGCTGGAGCATGAGCTCATTTCAAGTCCCCTTGCTGCCTCCATCTCTCCCAACCCTTGTCCCTATCTCTCCCTCCACCCCCATCAACTATGATGCCTTTCTTTTCTGCTCTCCTGGTCCTACCTGTTTTCCAAGCCAGAGCAGCTCTCACCTCCTCTAGGAGGCCTTCTTGGCTATTCTAGCCTCTTTCTTGGAGCTTCTATGGTATGCAGTCTTTATCGCCATAGTTTAACACATAACCCAGTCCTGCCTGATCATGTTAACTGGCTGCTTGGGACTTTGTGTGTTCCATCTTTCTTGTCTACTCAGAGGCTCCTGGAGGGCAGAGCTCATTTCTTACACCTCTTCATTGACAGCAGTCTCCCTCTCAGCAGGGACCAGACTACTGTCACTTACCTGTCTGACATGGCGATCTGCTCCAGCATTGCAGAGCCAGTGTTCGTCTTCCAGTTCCCTGAGATGGATGTCCTCCTGCAGCAAGTCCCCACCAAGAGAGAACAGGTTGTAAGCCATACCAACAAGAGGAGGACATGAAACTTTGCAGAATTTTAGCTCATTGCTGCATTTCTTACCTGCTTCTTCCATAAATAGCCCAGCAGCCTGTCTGTTGTACCTGGAGCCTGGCTGACTCTGTCAAATCCCCACCTGTGATGCCTGCCTTTCTCTATAAGGGTCCAGTTCAAGAAATGCAGGCTCCATGAAGCCTGCCCTGATCACTTCAACCAGATGAGCTCTTGCTCTCCTTAGAACTCCTACAGAACCTCACTTCCAACTTATCTCTATTTTTATTCTAGTTATTTGAGCTGAATGTTAAGCTAAGGCCTTGGGGTCTGTAAAGCACTTGGAGTATGTATTGTGTCATGTACTCCTACCAGCTTACTCATTCAGTATCTGGGCTGACTCAGAATACACCAAACTGAATCTCACTGATCCTGCCAACTCCTACAGGGTTCTTGTGAGTATTTCCTAATGTCTCACCTGCACATTCATTTAACAGTTATTTCTGAGGGCCTCTACAATGTTAGCAGTTGTCTCATCTGTCAAACGGAGCTGATGGCATCAAGCAACCAACCTCTGCCATGCTTACTGTGCCTCTATTCACGAGCAAGGTGAGAGTTGTCTAATCTTTGACTAAATTGGAGATGGATGACCAATTTTCTGGATCTGGATTTGTTCTTGACTGGCTAGGTAACCTTTGGAATCAATTTACCGCTCTAGCCTCTTTTATCTGTGAACACAGGATGGCCAAGAAGATCAGTTGGTACAGGCTTAAGGATTTTTGTTTGGTTTTTTTGAGACAAAGTCCTGCTAAGTAGTCGGGCTGGCCTTGAACTCATGATCCTCCTGCCTGAGCCTCCTGAGAGCTGGCATTCCAGGCGTACCCCATCCTGCCTGGCTTATTTTTTAAATTATTATTCTTTACCTAGACATAGTCAAGGGGAAGGAGTTAACCTAGGGGATAGAAAAGCCCTCTTACACCATAGCTAGAGCCCTCCATATGCTGTCCTAATTATTCAGTACTGTTTTGAGAATGCTAGCACCAGCTTCTAGGTATATACTCCCTGGAAGTCTGATTTCAAACACTAAGAAACCTACATATATGGCTAGTTTTTCAGAGCCCTAAGGCAGCCCAGTCAGTCAGCTAATGAGGATGACAAAAATCCTCACACTTGAGCAGTACTGACTGTTTTCCAAGGTGCCCTCTCACCAAGCCTTCACAAAAGTTTCACTTTAAACCCCTGCTGTAAGAAAGTTGGAATTCTTGCCCTGCTTTACAGATAAGGAGATTAAGACTCAGAAAGGTTAGATGACTAGACTAAGATCCTATATCTAGTTAAAGAAGATATGAGATTGAAGTCTCGGTGTGATGTGTTTTCTCTTATACCCACTACCAAACTAAGAAAAAGAAATAAATAAACAGCTGAGGAGCTTGCAAACCCGAGTAGAAAGACAAAGACAAAAAACATAACACAAATAACTCTATTTTCCTAACATTGGTGGTTTATAAATGTGTTCCTATCATCAGACTCCTCCAGGTAGGGACAGTGTCACTCACTTCCATATCCCCAGCACAAAGCCATGACACATTATACAGTCTCAGAAACTTTGAGTAAATAATAACCACTTACATTTATATGGCATTTTGAAGTTTGCAAAGTTCCTACGACTTCCATATCCTTCTCTAAAATGGCACACAGAGCACAGATCCATACAGGCTCCCTGGGGTATGGAACAGGGAGGATGCTGAAAGGCCCCTCAGGACAGCTCAACTGCCTCTGGCCTCACAGGTCATGTGATCTCTGCAGAGGGACCATGGTATATAGTCTCCTGAGTGTGGGGGCAGGACTAGCACCTTCTTTCCACCAAACATTGTTCTCCAAGGGACAATGTGGGGAAGATAGAAGAATTCTAAAGTTTATCATGGCTACTGCTAAGTTGATTCCTTCTTCTGAGAACAGGAATATTTCTGCCAAAAATCTGGGGAAGAGGTGTGATGCAGAGAAGCTGAGTGGGCCTAAATACTCCCTGGATGGGCCGGTGTATGTGTGTCTAGGGGAATAAGTAAATGTCATCTGAAGCTTATCTGGTCACCCACCCTTCACTAATGTTTGGGATTCCTCTTTCCTTATGCTTCATTTTATATTGGTTTTGAAAACCCTAACCCTTAAAAGTTTGATATCTCCTTTTAAGGATTAAATACTCTTGTTCCCCTGTTGTCATCAATATATGTTTTGTATTTATGGCATTTAAAATTTAAAAAGATGGACTATCTGCTTTCTTAGTTATCTGGAAGTATGTATTTTTCTGTTTCTTTTACCTAGTTTTTAGACTGGCCTTTTAAACTATTCTGTTTAAAAATTTAAAAATTGTGCATTATTTTTAAAGCAACCCTAAAATCCTTTCTGGAAGCAGGAAGACACTAAATATAAAATTACAAACTTTAAAAAAATTACAAACTTTTAAAAAGTAGGAATCTAGTCAATAAAGGTTAAAAAAGTTCTAGGTTAGAGAAGAGGCACAGTGATAGAGTATGCACTTAGCATATGCAAAGCCCAACAACAACTACACACGCACACATACAATATGTCTCTCACACACAAAGCAACCTGACAACAACAGAACCCCAGACTCTATGCATCAGTTCTCTGCAAGGGCTCTTTCCTGAGTACCTTTGGGTGCCTCCTGGGAGCCTGCGGCCACACAGGCTGGGGGATGCCCAGAGAGCAAGACAATGCATACACATTCAAGGTCTCAGCTAGAGGTGTGTGAAGGATGCAGGAGAAGGAGTGCAGGGCAGGGGTGCCTAACTACCTCCAGAGGTGGGGCTATGAACACTGAAAAGGCCAAAAGCAGAACAATGAAAACATCAATTTTGATATATGCTTAAGTCTTGAGTGGCAAACATCAAATTCACATATTAATAATGGTCTTTCTTTGTAAAGAAAATACATTATTTTTTTAAGTGGTAGATTAATATTGTTAAAATTGGAATTAGAAGTCATTTGCATTCCTACATATATTAAGTAAGATAGGGTAGTCTTGAAATCTTTTGTTTTCTAAATTCTAGATAAGGAAAATGGACAGTTATGTGGAGAAATTATCTACTTTTGAAAACATCAGGTTTTCAGTGTTCTGTAGCATTTTCAAGGCTGGATAATTACATTAGAAGTTTAGCTTTTCTGTGCTTTGGCAGTCTAGTGAAACACATGGGTTCCGTTCAAAGCATAAAATGTACAAGGCACAAATATACAAAATAAAGTACATGGGATCACACATGTAACCCAATTAGAGTTATCAAAAATATGAAACAAATATGTAATGAATGAAAATATATGCCTCTATAAATAAGAAGATATGGTGACATCTTCTTATTTAATTACCATGATTTTTAAATCGTGATGAGCGGAACTAGTATTTAGGAATATCTGTTGCAAGGATAGTGTAATACAAGAGTATCTGTGATTACCTTTAGTGACAAAGCCCTACATTCTGCTACTACTGTAGTGTTTAGCTCTGTCCCTACTGAAAAGAAAGCTGAATTTCACTTACAGGTTAGTGAGAATGAGTATTAATTTCATTTTTCATCTCAGTTCATAGACCCCCTCCTCCTCTGACTTGTAAGGAACCAGGTTGAGAATCCCTGACTCTGATCCTGTCTCTGTAGTGTGCCTATGGAGCAGATGAGGTCAAGCTGAAGGTGCCTGCTGAGGACAGATGGACGGTGCCTGCCGCCGTCCCCACCCACTCACATGTAAGCCTTGTAGTTGTTGCCGATCTTCTGGACTCGGATGTCATACTTGGCATCGATGAAGGGCTCTGCTGTGGCATAGGTCTGAGTGAGGGCCACCACACTAGCAATATCCTGGAAGTCGTAGTGGTTTTCCACTTTTACCTAGCGTTGGAGTGAGGCAGAGTGGGAAAAAGGACATACATATATACACACTGAGAAGTCAGTCACAAGGGCCTGGAGCTTCCAAACGAATCATGATGCTTCTAATCCAGGCACAACCATGAGGCCACATCTTCCCTAGGAGGCCCTTCTCTATTTTCCCTCCCAGGGCTCAGTGGCCACATCTGTTGCAAAGGACCCAAGGGTCTAACCAAGTGGTTCGTACTATGCTTGTTGAAAGATGTATGGTTGGGCACCACTCAAGACTTCCAAGGAACCAAATCATATCCTTGGAAAGAACTCCGTAACATGGGAAGAAGAGTGGTCCACAAATGGGCTTTCTGGAGAATGCCCTTCTTGGCTCAACCCCTGCCTTACCTTGCCCATGCCAGAGTGAGCATGGCCAATCTTCACGACCACGGGGAATGTGGGCAGTGTCAGCTGAAAGCAGAGAAGGAAGGAATAATAAACTGGTCAGAATGTGCCTGTCTCCCTGTGGAATCTTTATCTTAGGAACATCTTTGGGAGCATCCTTTAATGAACTAGTTCAACCTACTTGCTGTACAAACTGAAAAACTGGGCCCATAGAATGACAGTCACCTTCCCAAGGTCACATAACATGTTTGAGGCAGAGCTTTGAGTTCTCTGTTCTATGTGAACCCTCCACCTGTCACTGCTTCCACTTTCTCTGTATTACATAATCCTATGTTAGAGAGAAAAAGTCAAGGTCCAGAGAAGCAAAAGTCACAAAAAATACCTAGTTATAGTCTGAATCAGAACCCATTCTCCCACTTTTCAGTCCACACTTTATGGAGATGTCCTACAGCAATAATGCCACTAGTCTTTCTCTTCTGATCCTTAGAGCACTATGCTGACAGTGGACCAGGCTTGGGTCACATTGACCCCAAATGCTCTGCTTCTTTGTGTTACAAACTGCCCCATCTTCTATACCATTGCATAGTCTCCAGTGGGCAATGCATGCAGTTACAGTCAGTGTAGCCCAGAGCCTGGACACAGAGGTTTTGAGTGACAGGACATCCTGTGTTTTGAGCCCCCCCACTGCCCCCGTGCAGAGTCTACAGCTCTGGCTATGAGAAAGGGTTTCTAAAGCTCGGGCTGCTTTCTCTGACGTTCCTCCCCACCCCCCAGTTGACAGAGCCAAGACACACACACACCCCAACCTTCTCTGTCCTATTCCCTTACTGTTTGCTGTTGCTTTGGAGCCTCATAAATAGGGCATTGAAAACACTTCCTGCAGCTCAAAGAAGCCCTGAGTAGTTTGTCTCACTCCCAGTATGCCTCTCAGCAAGGGGTCTGTCCTCCTCTGTCACTGTCTCTTTTGCCTGTTGTAATTCTGTTTGCCTCTCTCTGACTTCAGCCTGTCCCATTCTTTCTGTGTGCCTCTCCTCACTTGCTCCTCCTGTCTGAATTGCAGTGGCTCAGTCTTTCTGCCTTCATGCATTTGTCTTTGCTGCTCTTTCCATCTTTCTGCCAGACATCATCACCTTTCCCAGTTCATTCTGTCTATTTCCAGATAGCATAACTGCTCAGGCTCTCCAGGCTTCCCCCTTTATCTTATAGAGTCTGTCAGACAAGAGGGCCTTGGGTCCTACAGCCACCCCGCCGGTGGCCTGGAGCCAAAAGAGGGCGGAGCCCATCCGGGCAGGATTGGCCCTAGGGCTACCTCATAAAGCCTGGGAAAAGGGTCAGGAGGCATTCTGCAAGAACCCTGGAGGGGTTGTTTTGACCCAGACACAGACCCCCACAGGCTCAGTTGGGGCTCTACAGTGTCATGCCCTGGAGCCCCAGGGCTGCCCCAAGCTGGGCGCTGCTGCTGCGGCTGCTCGTGTTGCTGTGGCCCCCAGGTCTGGGGGAGTCATGCAGCTGCGCCCCTGCGCACCCCCAGCAGCACATCTGCCATTCAGCACTTGGTGAGTCTGAGGCCCACGAGGTCCACAGAGTGGGTAGCTATGGGAGGTCTGGTATACAGCAGAGCTCTGGACCAGAAATCTGATAGAGCCCAAATCCTGGGAGTCTGCCTCCTGCTGAGGCTGATGGGTCAGAAAGGGTTGGCACCATAGTAACCTGGCAAGCACAGGGCCTGATGTGTAGGGAAATAAAGATTGTGTTAGGGATCTCCACAGCAAACTCCCTCACTTATGCCACACTGTAATTAGGCAGTATCATTGAACAAGGTGTTACCAAAACTATCCAATTACTGTTCAGAACTACTGGATAGTGAGTGAGTAAGTGTGTGTGTAGGGGGCTTATGACACCTATCTCTATACAGGCCTACCAACTGAGGCTGCCACCATGACTCCACCTTTACCTTTTGCCTTTCTCTCCACTTTACCTTGACCCACCTTTAAATTTCTGGCAAGCTCCTCTCCGCCTTTCAATGTCTAACTCAGATCTCCATTTTTCTGGAGGCTTTCTGACTCCTTGGTGCTACTATAGCATCATTAACATCTTTGTGTCCCTATTCTTCTGTGCTATTGTTCTTTGTAAGTGTTACTCACTAGACCAAGAGCTCTGCAGGATGGGGACTCTGTCTTAATTATACCTGTGGGCCTTATGTCTAGTACAAGGCCAGGCACAGAGGAAGACTTTCATAAATAGTTTTGATTAATGCCCAGATGTCAAGAGAGAGACTTCCTCAGTGAAGGATTAGGACATTCAGGAATTCAATAAGCATTTATTAATATCAATGTTGGGTGAGCTCTAAGGTGTTGGTTGAGCTTCATCAACAAATCAGCCTCACATCAAATGCCTTCAAGGGGCTCCTCCTCCCTCCATACTGACTCCTGTTCTTGGCTCACTACATCTGGGGTAACAGAGAACCAGAGCTCTCCAAAATAACTGGGTAAAATGGCCAAAAGAGCATAGAGGTTAGGACCTAAGAGCTCTGAAAGGATTTGGAACTTACAGTGACTGCAGAGAAGGAGTTTCCAGATCCTCACTTTCAAATACACCATACTGCTTACAACCCAGTAACACCTAAACCAAGAATTCCCCAAGAAGTCCTACAGGGACTCCACATCATCCAGGTCTCAGATGGATTGCTTCCACAAGTGCTTAAGGTTTCCTCTTTTCTCTTCCTATGTAGTGATTCGGGCCAAAATCTCCAGTGAGAAGGTAGTTCCTGCCAGTGCAGACCCTGCCAACACTCAAAAAATGATGCGGTATGAAATCAAACAGATAAAGGTACATGGGGGCAGATGGTGTTGATCCACCAGAGACCAATGGAGGGATGAGCTGTGCTATGGGAGGGATGGTCCTGGTAAGTGTCAGGCAATCTGGCTCAGTGAACCTTGTGATGATGCTGAAATGGAACTGGATGAGATGTTGGGGGCAGGGCCCACAGAATTCAGGTGACAAGGCAGGGTAGGACCTCAGTGTTCACTTGGTTCTACAGCTGTCAGTACATAGGGCCCCTGGAGTACCTCCCCTCACAGTGGAGTAAACCAAGCTTTAGTGTAAAGACAGAGACAACTCAGTGGGGCCATCTCTGTGTACCAAATCCTGAACTATACTTTTGCTTAATTTTTTAGACTGAGAAATGAGAAGTTTTTGCCTGTTAATAAACAAATTAAACTCCTTGACACAATATCACTTTTTGTAATTGCCTTTCAGATGTTTAAAGGGTTTGAGAAAGTCAAGGATGTTCAATATATCTATACACCATTTGACTCCTCTCTCTGTGGTGTGAAACTTGAAGCCGGCAGCCAGAAGCAGTATCTTTTGACTGGTAAGTTAAACACTAGTAATTGCCCTGACAGTCTGTCCTAAGGAAGGCAGTGAGACAGAAGCCACAGCATTCCTTGAGCTGCTGGCTGAGTACAGTGGCATTTTCTAAGGCATAAAACAGAGTTGTGATAGTGATACACAGCCTTTTAGTTGGGAAGAACTTCAGTAGCCTCTCTTTTGATGCAGGAGTCCTTGTCATGGTGATCTTGGCCTTTCTTCACTGCATTAAGAATAAGATGCTCTACCAGATAGGACAGCTATTTTAATTTGGAAACAATTTTAATTGGTATAAGATTTTTAGCATCTTAAGCCAAATTCTAAGGGGAGCCTTGAGTCTCACAGTTCTGTCCGTGAACATGGGCCTAGGTAAGTCTCCTCCATACTGAATTGCTGGGCTAGAACAGTTAAAGAACCATGTAAGAATATAACTCCACAAATGAATGAATAAAACACTAAATTATTTTGGAATTCAGAGAAAGGAGGTATTTGTGGGATTGTGAATAATTAGGGAAGCTTCACTGTATAAGTAGGATCTAAATTGGCCCTTGAAGGTAAAAACTGTTTAGGAAGAGAGCAAGGAAAATAAAGAGCACAACGGGTAGAAAGAACAGGTGGAAGATTCTACTATCTATCCAACCACTCAGCCATGAATGGTCACCTGCAACACACTGTCAGGCCTGGGACAGGAGGCAGGACATTCAGGAGTCTCACAGTCCAGACACGGTTTTTGAGGAGGCCATAATGAAAGGGACTTCCCAGCTCTAAGGATGTAGGATTGTGCTGACCTGGTGAACTTCTGAGTGTGGGGGCAGAGGAGGAAGAGGCAGAGGTAAAGTAGGTCCCTGAGTTGTCCTATTCCCAGGATGATAGGACCAGGCCATTTCAATCTCTGATATCCCACCTCCTCCCTAAGCACTTCCCCTTGCTATGTCCCACCCTGTTAGGCACTGAGGTACACCAGGGGAAGTAGGAGACATGCTTTCTGTCCTCAAGGAGAACAAGTATACATGACAAATGACAAAACAAAAGTCTATAAAAAAGTTATCAGTGGCACCCAGGCCTTCAGAAGGCAAGACCTTTATCACCTGACAATGAAAACCCTATATGACCAGAACACTGCCAAACCTTTTAGCTTTTTCTTCTGTCACTTATCAGTGACAGTTCCCTATCTCTTTCTTCCCCCAGAGGTGAAATAAACTACTTGTAGTAGCAGAAAGTGTGATGCTGGGCTGTCCTGCCTTTGTATATAAGACAGTCCATGTCCAGAAGCCTTTCCACCTGACATGTGAATTCCTACTCACTCCTTCAAGGCACAACACAACCATCATCTCCTCTGAGACACCTTCCTTTTCCTGCACCTCCTCCACACCTCTAAATATGTGCTTTTCTTTGTTCTTATACTATATCAGTGTAATCACACAATTGGGTAATTTAAGTGTTACCTACTTTTCTATCTACCCTCCTCATTTTTAAGCTCCTTGGGAGCAGCAATCTGTCATATTTATGTCTATATTCCTGGTCCTAGATCCTAACAGTTGCTTAGTAAATGATGCATTGACTGAAGTTCTAGGACAGGTGAAGGCTTGCACAATCAAGGATGGCTTGGAGGACAAGGTGGTTGAAAGATTGGAAGGAGCCAGGCATGGTGGTGCATCGCAATTCCACTGCAGTCTCTATCAGGAGGCAGGAAGATCAAGAGTTCAAGGTCCCAAAGGCCAGTCAAAGTTAGTGAGTCCCTATCTCAAAGACAAAATATGAAAGGGGGGAGAGGGGGCTGTGGGTATGACTCAAGTGGTAGAGTGATTGGGAGACCCTGGGCTCAATCTCCAGTACCCGTCCCGCTAAAAAAGTGGGGGAGAGGGAGGAAAGAGGGAAGGGTGAACAAGTTCAATAGGTAAAGAAGGGAAACTTTTCTATGGCAATAGATTCACCAAGGTAGGCATCCGTGGGCAGGAGACTGGTCTATGTGGATACTGGGAAGGGTCAGAAAAGAGAAGGGAATCTTTATTTATTGAACATCTTCTGTGGGCTTACAACAAACAGTACTGGGAACTCTGTAGATATTCTCTCATTTAATTCTGATGACAACTTTATCATTCCTATGCTTCAGATGACTTTCTTTAGGATCATGCAACTAGTAAATAGCAGAAGGGGTCCCACCCAGAGCCTGACTTTTTCTTCAGTGCTGGGGATCAAACTCAGGGCCTCATGTCTATTAGGGAAGTAACTCTACCACCACACTACATCCCAACCCTGCTGTCTCATTTTAAAGCCCTTGTTTTCTCTGCACCATGCTGAAGGGAAAGGCCTTCACCAAATGCCACAATTCTCCTAACACAAACATAATGCATTAGTCTCTTTGCTATAAAGATTATAAGAACCAGGCATCAGTGGCTCACACCTGTAATCCTAGCTATTCTGGAGGCAGAGATCAGGAGGATCATAGTTTGAAGCCAGCCTGGGCAAATAGTTCACGAGACCCTATCTCAAAAATACGCATCACAAAAAAGCTGGTGGAGTAGCTCACGTGGTAGAGCACATGCCCAGCAAGCGTGAGGCCCTGAGTTCAAGCCCCAGTACAATTACAGAGATTTTTCTGGTCCCTTCATTTAGCCCCATGTTGCCACTGCCACTATAAAAACCACTAGCGGCTGGAATATACTCAGTGGTGCTTTGCATGTGTGAGGCCCAGGTTCAATCCCCAGTACGAAAAGAAAAAAAAAAAAAAAAAAAAAGCTAGTAGAGGGGGCTACATTTCTGACTTTTTAAAGGGCTGAGACCCCTGGAGCTCTAACAGCAGCCTCTAGTTACAAGCCTCTCTTCCATTTTCCCATGAAGGCCAGATCCTCGGTGATGGAAAAGTCTTCATCCATCTGTGCAACTACATTGAGCCCTGGGAGGATCTATCCTTGGTGCAGAGGGAAAGTCTGAATCATCACTACCACCTGAACTGTGGCTGCCAAGTAAGAGAATGTCCATTTTCAAGGTCTTTTGGGGGTGGGGAAAGGGTCTTGAGCCTTGCAGTCCACCCACTTCATGTATTCCTTCATTACTATGCATTTACTCACTTACTATACTATACTTGAGATGTGGCATGGAAATTGGGAAACCAATAGAGTCCATGGTCCCCGATCTCAAAGTGCTTGAGTTTTGTCTGGGAAGGCAACCATCATAAAAGGTAAACTGAGGTAACACTAATATAAAAACTACTTAAAGAGTCTAAGCCAAACATGGTAGTGCCATATAATCCCAGCATTGAGGCAGGAAGATCACACGTGCGAGGCCAGCGTGGACCACATAGTGAGATGCTGTCTCAAAAAGCAACACAATTTTGCCTTGTACAAACATAATGCATTACTCTCAACACAGCAATTCCCTCACCACACACACAAAACAGAGAGAGCCACTACTCTTTGCCAGGCCTTATTTTAAAATTTTAATTTTGTCCCAATAACAAATCTGTGAAGATTTCCATTTTAAAGAAAAGAAATTAAAGTTTTGGGAAGTGAATTTACTTGCTCAAGGTCAGTGGTAGAAAGGGGCCCACCAGGGCTGATGCCATATATCTTTTTTGGGGGGACAGTACTGGGGTTTGAATTCAGGGCCTCGTAGTTGCTAGGCAGGCACTCTACCACTTGAACCATTCTGCCAGTCCCAATTCTGGAGGCGGCATTAGAGAGACAATACTATTCACAGGGAGCATGGGGAAGGGGAGTAGGAAAGGCTTCATAATACAAAGGGCAGTTGATATGGCTGGGAGGATATGTGGGCATCTGAGAGGCAGCAATGGAAAAGAAGTACATCCTACTCACTTTGATGTCGTGTGGCCATCACTAGATCACAACCTGCTATACAGTGCCCTGTGCCATCTCAGCCCCAAACGAGTGCCTCTGGACAGACTGGCTGTTGGAACGGAAGCTCTATGGGTACCAGGCTCAGCATTATGTCTGCATGAAGCATGCTGATGGCACCTGCAGCTGGTACCAGGGTCATTTGCACCTCAAGAAGGAGTTTGTTGACATCGTCCAGCCCTACTAGGGACCAGGGGCCACCACATCCTTTCAAGAGTCCTAAAGAGCAAGCCAGTTCTCCTTCCCCATGGAGCTCTGACCATCACAATCTGCCCTGTTGCTGCCAGACAATGGAAAGAGACAACTGGATGGCCTGGCCAGCATCATGGCAAGGATGGGGCATGTCACAGTTTGTGCCCAAGTCTCTAGCCCACAACTTTCCATGGGCTGGGGAAGGTAGTGTGACTTTTCTGACCTGTCCTCAGCCCTTTCCTCTGCCTCCCAAACTCCATTACGCTAGCTTATACCTGTTACTAAAAGTTTTTATTCTAGCTTAGTTTGGTGTTCAAAGCCAGGACTATCCCCTTTCTCTCCAGGAAGATGTGTTTTCCTTTTCCTTAACTGCTCTTATAGGGGAGAAATGGTGAAGTTATACACATGAGACGGTTTAGCTTTGTGATATATAATAACGGACAGTGGGCTGCCAGTATTACAAACAGGATGATTGGCAGGAATGAAATGAACAATATACTACGACTGTGTATCTTCTATCCCTCCTGTCTCAATTCATCCTAATTCTCTGATACATTTCCATCCGCTTGGGGGAGGGCACGGCAATTCTAATTACTCAGTGTCAGAGCAGGAGCAGCTAACCTGTCTCTATATACTGCAGTCCTCCTGACACTCTTCCTGGCAGAAGATCTGGCCCAGTTAGTACACCTCTTTGGACAAGAGCAGACTTACTTTCTAAATATAGGTATTTTCCCTCCAGGTTAAATATCCTTATCTTTAACTGATGACAACAGGACTCCTTTTCTGCCTCTTTTAGGTTACTAATGTCTCCATTCCTACTTCAGAACTTATTTTTTTAAAGCCAAAAAAGTTTTTGTCTTATAGAGTTGAAATCTCCCTTTTATCAGCTTGACACCTCAGAAATGGACTTTTCCTGAGAGCAAATTTTAGGATAGAGGACAGGCGAGAAATAACACAAGGACCCTTTGGAGACAGTATGTTAGAGGAAGAATAACTTTGTACTTGCTGTAGTTTCTCTGTGCCACACCTTCCACCCTCTACAGTGGTCAACCCTGCTAGATATTAAAGTAGGAAAAAGCCAACTTTGATCTCTCAGCTCAGTCACCTCACCACTGTGTCTTGGACTCCCTTAGAGTTCCAGTTATAGTCCCCTTAGGGGTCCTTGGCCTCTGAAAGCCTTCCTGGCATACTCTGAAAGGGAAAGCCCTGATATTGGCCTCTAGGATTTTTTTTTAAAGACAAGGGCTTAAAATTCCAGATTCTCTTTCTGGGGGAATCTCTGGAAAGATGATGAAGATAGTTCTTTTTAAGGTCAAGGTGGTTTTTCATCCTCTATGTGTGCTCTGCTGGTGAGAAAGGCCATGTACAATGTGCAAAAAGAAGGCTCTGGATTCAGAGAAATGTCATACACAGAGATCCCTTTTAGAAGAGGGAGTAGGAGGAGAACAAGCATGATCTTTGTCCCAGAACAGAACACTTGGAAGGCTTTGGCAGGGAGTCTCCATTGGTGCGTTAAGAAGGATCCCCACTGAGCTCACCAGCCTTGGGTAGAGGTGTGTGGATAGGAAGGAAGATGGCAGTATGAGTTCCAGGTTGCCCTGGAGGAAAAACAATAATAATAGTCCCCTTACCAACCAACTATCCCATCTCTCTGCTCCTTCTCAGCCCCTAGAATGAACTCAAGCTTTAGAAAGTATAGGGTTAAACAAGCTGTATCACAATTTGGAGGTAACCAAGGGAGAGGAAGTCTCATGAAAAATAACAGGATCAACACCTAATAGCTCAGGAGTGCTTCATATTACCAGAAGGCTATTACTTAAAGAATCCTACCTAAATTTTGTACATATCATATTAGATACCCTGCCCAGGAGTAGTTATACCCACCTGATTATCTAGTTGGGAAACTGGCACACAGGGAAGGAATGTAAATTGCCAAATGACAAGTGGCAAAGCTAGAGCGCTACATTCAAAGTAGTGAAATCCTCTGATTTTTGGTATACATGTTTGTTATTCTCTCAGCCCTTTTTTCTGCTCTTCCCTATTCTGTCTCCAGAATTTGAAAACGAAAGGTTGCTAGCTAAAATTCAACTACTCTAGTCCTAAAAAGGTAGCTCCATAGTTCCAGTCCAGTGGAGTTTTAGGGGTTGAGATGCTGAGGCCCTTATCAGAGGCCCATAGTCACCATGTAGTTAGGCTCACAGGGGGAATAGCAGAGACTCAAATCCCCACTCAGCCACTTACCATCTCCTTGTGGTTTGGGTAGTATGTCTGCTCAATGAGTGGGAACTTTTCTCCTCCCAATGTCTTGTAGATGGCCACCATCTGGGCAAACTGCAAAAGAGAAGAAAATGTTTCAGCTTATCTAAGACAACTTCTGGAATAGACAAAGCATAAATTTATCAAACAAATATTGAATGTTTGCTCTGTAGTGGGCAAGCACATTGACAATATAAGAGAAGTGTACAAGCTGAGTGTCATGGCACATACCTGTAATCCCAGCACTTGGAAGGTTAAGGCAGGACTGGCTACATAGCAAGATCCTGTCTCTATCTCTTTCACTCACAGGTAAAATTCTATTCTCAAGGAACATAAGCCTTGTTTGGAGAAGGCAAAGAAAAGGAACTAAAATTCATTGAATACTTATTCAATTTTAATGCTTTCTCATTTAATTTTCCTATCAAATTGATGAACTGGGTACCTTACCATTTTCATTTATGTACAAGGCTCACAGGGGATAGGAAATGTAACTAAAATCACAGAACTAAAAAGGTGAAGCTAAAATTACAACTTGGGTCGCTAACTCCAAATACCTGCTTCTCTGAGCAAGGTCAAGAGACAAAGCTGAAGAGGTATATGAACCAAGTGTTGGAAGCCCAAATACTAGGTAAGTGAATGGCAGCTTTTATACAAAATCATCAGCGTTTGAGCAGTTGTGTCATGAGTGAAACTGTTCTTCAGGAAGATTTGGATGATCATATTATGTAAGATATGCAGATCCATTTTTTTGGGACTAACTTATTCATCCAAGAACTGAACTCACTAGGCCCTTTCCCCAAGAGAAACTAGGATAACTTCAAGGAGAAGAGGTAAAGTATACATGCAGTGTTAGGGTTGAAATGCTCTGGGTGCTCATACTGCACTCCCTGACCCTTTAAAAGTGAAGAAACTGAACACCAGAGAGATCAGTTGCTCAAGGTCACACAGCAATTGAGCCAGATTCATAGATAGGGCTCTTTATTCCCAATCTGTAATGCTCCCTATTTCTTCAAGTAGCTGCCTTTCAGGTTCTGCAGACCATGCTGCTTGCATAGGAAACATGGGACTTTCCTGCTAAACTATCCACATACCCCACACATTCATCCCCAGTGCATGGGCAACAGGAGAAATCAAACATTTTGTCTTTAATGTTACCAGATTGATAATACTCCAATGTACCAATAGTTGGAAATGCGAGAAGGGAAAGTTGTCATTGCCTTCTACTTATCAGAGAAAGGAAACCTAGAGCATTTTTTAAAAGCTCAGGTCCTATTTAAGGAATGCTGGCACATGAGCCAGGCAGGGCAGGGGGTAGGAGCAGTAAAAGAACTGGGTTTTAGGAGAGGAGAGTCTTTTGGTTTTTGTTCTTCCCTTAATTTGCTAGATATCCTTGGGCAAAAGACTTCTCCTCTCTAGTCCTCATTTTCTTCATACTTAAACTTCATATAAAACAAGATGGTTAAATTTGATCAGTTCTTCAAACTTTGTGCCACCAAGATAATCTATTATATTTCCTCCTAAGTTACATTAACTAACTGAAGTTTAAGTGATCATTTGTTGTGGTCCTTTTGTGGATAAAGATAAGATTTTGTTATTTTTGAAATACTGGAAAACACTGAAACTCTTATGGCCTCCTCTAGGACTGAAAGTATGATTAATAAACTCTCAAGCCCCTAAGATTTTATTGTTGAAAGAGACTACAACTAGTCTCCAGACCTTGTCTCCCATTTTAGAAGTGAGGAGACTCTGGCTAGAGAAGCAGAGTAAAGTGCAGGCTCCTAGGTCACACCTGGAGTTGGGGCTGCACTGGGAAAGCATCCAGGTCTCTCTTTGCCTTGCCCAGTGCATCTTCCATTGTACCTCCTGTCCTTACCATTTTTTGGCTCTTCAATTTGCTTTTACTGAGACTATTCCCATATTCTGATTCTTCCCCCATCACCTCATCTACCCTTTAAATTCTGCCTGCCCACCTGGACTTGGCTGGGCTCCTGCTCTGCCTGGCTCTCCAGCATCCCCAGACAGCTGATGCCAGCTCTGCCTAACGACCTCTGTCCTGGTACAGCCCACACTCTGGCTTGGTACCAAGGCATTTGGGGCCCTATCTTCCCAATGTGTAGGTGAGTTACACAGACACCACACCAATGCCAGGAAGGCCCCCGGCAGACTCCCAGGGCCCAGGGACAGCCAAGACTAAAATGACAGCCAGTTCCCACGCTCTAGCTGGGTTTCAGAGAGCTCACTCCACCCTCTTCACCTGATTGCCAACAATCCCTTTCTGCTTAAGGTACTGGGCTTTGCATCTAACCTATGCCTCCCTAGAAACTTAGATTAAGTCACAGGTACACAGTTATAATTAAGAAAATGTAATATCTGATAAGAGTTATTTCCTCTACACACAGACCAAAGAATGATTTAGGAGCTGGGGGTGCCACTGGCAATGAATAGGAAGATATGCCCATACAACCACTTATCCACTGGATCATGAAAGAATTTGTGGAAGAAAAAGGATTTAAAGATCAGTTTGAATATCAGTATATTATCTCTATCACTCCTGGAAGTTAAATGCTTTAATTTTACCCTGGTTCATCTATCTCCAAAAAGCCCAGAAAGACTGACAGGGAGGAATTCAGATAAATTTATAGTAATAAGGGGGTGGTGGCATTCTTGTTTTCTCTGGAATGCTGCTTTCGTTGATAGGGCCATTTTTACTTCTGAAATCCCAGTAGCTTGCCTGACCAATTTCAGAGATAGCAGATGTGTTCAGAGACATGCTGGTGCAAGGCAGAGGCCTTTCCAGCCCACTGGAGGCCTCTTTTCACATTAAGAGCAGCTAGAATAAGAAATTTAGAAATATGAGCCAAAGTCATTATCTTAGAGGAACCCTCCCCTCACAGTCACAAATTGAGTCCATTTCCATTAACAGGTAGAGAGCAATATGAAAAATGTTATTTGTGCAGCAGCTGCTTAGTGAAACTGAAGGGAGGAGTTGGTATGTGGCCAGGGAGTCCTGCTGTTCTCAGGCAATGCCAAAGGCACGTACTGGGATTGTGAATGGGTGAGAGTGTGACCCCTCACCAGATCCCAGATCCCATGAGGGGCAAAGCCCAAGTAGGCATGGGCTTTCTCTCTCGCCACCCCTCCCTTCCCTGGCCTCTGCCACAGTTTAAGAAAAGAAAACAGGGAACTAGTTTCTTTAAGAGCTCTCAGATACTACGGAACTATAACAGCTAAAATGGAGAAGTGGTGGCAGGTACCACTCTCAATCCCAGTTTGTAGACAATGAACCTGGGGCACAGGGAGGTCTAGTCACAGGACTGATAAGTAGTAAAAACACCCAGAAAACGGTAATAGCAGCATAGCCCTGTGTCTCTATGAGGGAGTCAAATTCTGACAAGTATTGGTGTGGGATAGGTTAGGGAATATTTGTAGGAGGAAGAACATGTGACTGAGAAGAAAAGGGAGGTCTTCAGAAAAGATTCTTGGTGGAAGCCTTATATGTGCCCTTTTGGGATTAGCAACACACTCAAATCACAAAACCCTTTTAGTTTACTTCTTCAGAACTCTAGGATTACAAACGCTGCAGGCCACAAACAAGGAAAAGCTGAACAAGTGAAGCTTAGGGAGCCAGCCCCTCCTTAACTACAACACTCCTTGCTCACTGCTCTTCCTCTTACACTGTAAGGTTTCCTGGCATCTAGGAAAGAGGAGACCTGTCAATTCAGGTGTAAAAAAATCAGGAGCAGAGGTGTTTAAGTATGAAAAAAGTTGAGGATAGAGCAATGGATCTGTTTGGCTAAAGAAATAACTAACTCCTCCAATCCTGTGTGGTGTGGAACTCAGAAACCTCACAAGGAACTTTGAGAATCTTGGCGGGCCAGCATGTGAGATAGCTGAAATTTTATTATTACAAAAGAAGATGATGAACAGGATGTGATTAGAGGCAGGCATTTCATTCCAAAGGGGTCATCCTGGAGCAGTAAAGCTAGCAGAGGAGCTGGGTCTCCTCAGCTGTCAGAAGGGAGGTCAAAGTACATCAGTAGCCATCAGAGGTTACTCTCCGTCCTACCCTTACTCTTTCATTCTTTTCTCTGCCTGAAAGTTTCTACTGCTTTCCTGGATTTCTAGACTGACTGAGGAAGAGAAAACCAGACCAGCTTTTCCTGACATAGTAACCCAATCTATGTGAGAAACCCTAACTTTGGCAAGTTACTGGGTCTTTTTCTCTGTACAAAGTGATAATGATAACAATAACATCTTCCCTATAATGAGGATTAAGTGAAATTAACAGAAAAATCTCAGAGGTTGGCACTATATAAGTAAGTGGTTTTATACTCCTTAATTTTCTTTTTCAATTTACACACATAAAGGGGTGAGATTTGATGACCTCAAAGGATGCTTACAGCTCTATAAGGGTCTGATCCATATTTATGTGGATAAATCTTACTTTAAGGTTGTTGAAACACTTGTTAGGATTCTGTCACTAATATCCCTTTGAGCTTAACTTGGCCCTCTGGTCTCAGCCTTTCCATTAGTTAGATCATCCATTCTAAGAGGTAAGAGACAAGCATTTTTTATCATTGCAGCCATGGTCAAAGGCAGACCTACAGACCTATAAGGACTTCTTCACAGAATCCTCATGTGATTTGGTTGAGAGGTCAAAGGCCTACTCTGCAGCAAAGGAGTTCAGCTCATGACACCTGCTAACATGTTGTGGTGACAGCCTTCCCAACCTCAATGTCCAGTTGAGGCTCCTCTCACATCTTCTCAGCCAGTGCCTACCAGGGGGCTCTCCTGGGAGACTGGGAGAAGCAGGGCTTGGGTCAGACCCTTTTACCTGGAGGGAAAGGATGCTGCACTCACCACCCATGGCTTGTCACAGAAGTTGTAAATGGATTCTAGTGAGTTGATGCTGGGGAGGCCTGCATACTGCATGCCGATGACCAGGTGGCGGAAGTCCTCATTTTCTGCCATACCAAATGCATGCTGCCGGATGAGTACAAAATCTGGCCGAAAGGACCTGGTAAGAATGCAGAGGCAGATTTTCCATTAACCAGCACCTCAGGTCATACATTGTCTTGTCCCCTATTTTGAAGCCCCCCAAAACAGAAGAGGTATGAGGGACAAATATTGTTATTATTCCTTTCTGTCCTGAGAAATAAAGTATTATGGAACTTTCCAAAGGAAATCTGAGTAATAGATTTCTGAAATTCTTTCATTCCTTTGGGCTGAGGACTGCCTTTTTCTAAGGTAGATATACTGCAGGAGGAAAGAAACACTTTTAGACCTTCACATCTGAAGTAAAAAAGACTTTCCCCTGTTCTCATGGGACAGTATGAGAGCCTGAACCCCTAAGGCTCCAGAGTTGGTGCTTAAAGCAGCATCTGGAAGGCTTTGAAGACCACATACAAGGCTGACTTCATCACACTGCCACCAGATCTCTCATTTTAGTGACCTGTTTTGACTCCTTAAAGCTGCTCCTTAAAATAGGCAATATCCTCATCAGGTCTCCAGGAAAGCAAGAGGCCATGCTGGCTGAGGACAGAGGGCAATGCTATTCTTCCAAAGCGGGCACTAGGGAGGGATGCAAATATTTTTCACAGAACTGAGGTTGAGCAACGGATGCAGGAAGCACTGAGAGTACAGAACGTTCCCATGCATGGGAAAGCTCTCCAGTTTTTACCACTAGCCAACAAAGTTCTTAGCCCTAGCTGCTCCACAGGACCAGGGCTCCTGTCTTTGTACCCTAGCTTCAGATACCTTCCAAGAGAGATAGCTTGTGGCAGCATTTATCGCTAAGGTTCTAAGGCTCAGCAGTTTCACTTCAATGACCTATCTGGTACTCTGCCCAGGCACCAATCCAACTGCCACCTACAAACCCAGTCCAACTCAGGTTCAGAGATGAGGCTTTAATAGTGGGGTTGAAGGAGCTCTCCTCAGTCATTCAGAGACTTAGCATCAAGTCAGCATGACATCTGCTTGGGGTGCTCTGACCTCCTAGACCCCAGTTATGGGACCTGTTGTTGGTTCCCATACACACTCTCAATCAGGTCTTGCTGTTACTAACTCAGATTCTGTTGGACACTAGTAGCCTCCGGCTGTATGCCTAATATCAAACTCTAACCTCTATTCCAGTTATAGGAATGGAGTTCTAGACTTGTGGCCAGCTGAATTAATACAGTGGCACCTGAAAGGGCCTGCCTTCTTTCTGCCAGATCACTTCTGGCACCATTGGACCTTTCTGTCATTACCTGCTTGTGTGTGCATCTCTATGACAGCTCTATCTCCAGTTTAAGAAGCCTGTCTATCTTCTATTGTAGGATCTACCTAAGCTCACCTCCTACCTGAATGGCATCTTTTTTTTTTCCTGTTATCTTCTTTAGTCTCCACAATGGACAAGCTTTTATCTCCTATTGGTAGGTCTTAGACACCCCCAGTGGTCTTTTCTGTCATTGACCCTCATCCTGTTGGACACTGGAAACCTAAGGGTCAGGGTAGTGCATGATGAGTGGGAAGAGGGTGAGGTAGTGACTCTTGAAGAAAGACTGATTTCTGACTACCTGAAACCATATTGAGCTCCTGGGAAGAATGACACCATGGAAACCATTTCCCGTCATCTGGAATTCTCACTAACTTCCTCAAAGAATTGTGTGTATGACAATATCCTATCAATAAAGTACCAAACACACACTTGATATGGAAATGCTCAATAATTGCTCATTTTTTTCTACCCACAACGTCTATTCCAATCCTAGGTTTTCCTATCAGATGTATGAGTTTCTGGGAATGAGTAACATAGAAAGAATAGAGGGCTGAGAGCCCTATCTTCACACACAGCAACCAACTCACTAAGCAAATCAATGTGGAATAGAAGACAGCTAGATCAGATGCTTTCAAACTTTTAAAAAGCAATGGAACCTGGTTTTCCAGAGGAGGTATATGGAGAGATAAAAAGTGTAGACTGGTATGGCACTTACTTGGGGCCGGGATGGGGGTGGCAGGAATCCTAGTAGGAATCCAGCTACCTCTAAGTGAATCTTTGAAGCTTAAGGTCGCTTTGTCTACCACTGGACCAGCAGCTCCTCAAAGGCAGGAGGAGAATGCCTTCTTTACCACTTTCACATAACACATACCATGAAATTCTACACACTATGCACAGCACTGCTCTTGACTTTGAAACCACCTCTTCAAGCCAAAGGTGGAGACAGTGTCAGTGACCACTAGACCAGAAAGGCTCTTACCGGACAACCTTTGTGCCGTTTCGGAGCACCTGCATATCCACAGCATAGGTTCCATCTGCATGGGCCACCAGGTTGAGCTCTGAGAACTCTGCCTGGAAAATAACAGAAGGGTAGTAAGTTCCAAGTCCGAACTTTGTCAAATCCTCCCTATAGAAGCAGCAGCAGCCCCATCACCAAGCATATGTTTAGTTTTCAAAGCATTTTCACATTCTTACTTCATCTAAGACTCATAGCAACCCTATGAGGCAGGTGGGACATTTACTGAAGGAAGAAACTGCTCAGGGCAGTTAAGTGACTTTTCTGGACAAACAAATCTTTTCATTGGCAGAGACAAGAGCAAAACTTGAGTTTTGTTTTTTTTTTAATCTTAGCTCAGATCCTTTGTGCTACCTCTCTGCAGAGCAAGGACGTGAACCAGTTTCAACATAAAAACACTAGGTTTTAGTTCAGGTAGCTGGGTTTTAATTTTGTTCTTCCCCTAATTAACATAAAATGTTAAGTAAGTTATTTGTCCCACTTGGGTTTCAGTTTCTACACTCTGTGAAATGGGAATAATTCCTATAAACCCTGTAAATCTAACAAGGAAATCAGGAAAGTACTCCATAAATCATAACACACTGTGTAATGAATGAATAACTTCTATTACGTAGACAATATATACATTATTTAAACTGGACATCCCCTTTCTACCCAAGTTGATCTGACCTATGTATCATGAAGCAGGGGCAAAAGGTAAAAAGTGGACCTGTCAGGACTTCACCATATTAAAACAACAGGGTGTCCTTTTCTAAGCTCCCTCTTTAGTATAGCCTCAGGCTCAGGGTGGGCATCACCAGAGGCAGCACACCTGAAGGGGTATGCAACCAACATTGCTATCAACAATATGGAGGTATGACCAGTGTCCTAGAAAGACATTCCTCTAAGGTCTCCTCAGCCTGGGAACCACAAAAGCCACACTACTTGCCACCAAACCAACACTAAGACTAGGAAGAGAATTCAAGAAAATGAAAAGATAGAGCCTTCAAAACCACGTCTCACAGAGAAAAAAGCCCTGGGGAAAGGGTGGGAGAAAAGAGACACAGAACCAGAACCCAAAGAGAGAACTAGATGGTTCACACTGAGATGCCAGAGGGAAGGATGACGATAAACAGATGCACTCCAAGCTTCAGGCTAATTACCTGTTCCACCTTGATGTCATAATCTCCAAGGACTTTTTTGCCGCGAAAGCACTTGGCCCTGAAAAAGGAAAAAACCCACACAAGTTAGTTTTGTACAAATGTTTGAAGTCAGACGTTTGCTCTCACTAAGAAGGCTATAGCAGACTGAATCCCAGAATGAGAGTCAGGAGACTTGGTTTCTGAAAGCCAGCTACTGGACTGCCATTAAGATCTCAGCAAACCACTTCTCTCTTTCATCCTCAATCCATGCACATGCAACATACTCCAAAGCACCCTTTCACTTTTAGCGTTTGTGATTTTATGATCGTATCCTTGGTATTTGGCTATAAAAAATGTCTACAGGTAGAATTTCCTTAATGCTGCTCTGGATAAAAACCAGGTTAATCTTATGTATCTCTATAGTTTCCTTATCTTCTCATTCTGTGTTTCACTCTGATTTTACAGCTGTTTTCTGGAACCCTTGGATTTTTAGTTTTTAAAGAAATTGCTAGTAACACTTTACTCTTCATACCCATATGAGAAAACACTGAGGAAAGCTATTACAATTGAACATAAAACTTATCCTGTCTTTCTTTTTCTTTTTTATCTTTCCTTCCTTTCTTTCTTTTCTTTCTTTCATTCTTTCCTTCCTTCCCTGCTTTTCTTTGCTTTCTCTTGCTTCCTCCTTCCCTCTTTTTCTTCTTTCCTTCCCTCCTTTCCTTTCTCTCTCTCTCTCCTCTCTCCCCCTCCCTTCCTTCTTCTCTTCCTCCCTCCCTTCCTCCCTTCCTTCCTCTCTTTCTCTCTGTCTTTCTTCTAGCAGGAGTGGAGTTTGAACTCAGGGCCCATACTTGCTAGACAGATGGCTCATTTGAGTCATACCCCTAGCCTTATCCTGTGTTTCTGAGCTGTCAAAAAATGAGTCATGCTGAGTTTTATAGTGCATAGTATCTTCCCAAATTATCAGGGAATCTTACATTTATGCATTAATAATGTCAACACAGCCCCTTATAAGCATGCTGTGTTTATGTCTATATTTATATTAATTCTTACCTTGTCTCTAACCTACTCCCCCCGCAACATAAGATTTTTCTTCTCTGCCCATCTTCCATCTAGGCAGGTTCTCTATTCGTAAAAAGGGCCTTTCCACCTGTATCTGTTAGCTAGATCAGGCTTGCATTTCCAAGTGCTTTTAACTGGGATATTTCACTGCAGGTTTTTTGGAAATATCTCCCTCATATAAATGAATAAACCAATATTCATTGAACATTCTGTTCTAGGAATTATATGCTAGTTGCTTTCAAGATCATTTCATTTAACCCTCAAAACAAATTATGAGAGAAAGAGACAGGTCTTCATTTTAGAAACAATGGAACCCAGATTCTACAGAGGAAAATAGTGCAGTCAAGGTCATTCAGCAAGTTAGTGACAGAGCCAGTATTCACACCAAACCTGTAGAACACCAAGAGTTCGATGCCCTCTGCACCACACAGCACTGTCTCCCTCTGCTGATTTATTTTTTCCAGCTTGCCATATGAGCTGCATTGATTTTTTTTTCCATTTTCCTTTTTCTACTTAAAAGGGACTTAATGATGTTACGAGCACTAGTCGTCACACAGCAAATACTTCCTACCCTGGTTCCTGTCAACTTACCCAGGATAAGGTCAGGCTATTTCCTTTTCTCTATGGATTCTAGAACAGCCCGTTCTAGGAAGTTGTCATTTGTCCTATCCAAGTCCCTGGCCACCCTGAAATTGCTCCTCTGAGGCACTGAGCCATCCTGGAGCTGGATCACTGAATCCATTCCCCCACCTCTGCCCCAATTCCTTACTAAGTTTCATATCAGCTTACTTTCAGGACCCTGAGCAACATTCACAGCTTAGCAAGCCCCTGGGGCAGGGGCATATGCCATTCCTTTGACTACTATTCTGTCCATGGGTGGCATTATCACTGTGCTGCAGATCTTGAACTCTTAGGTCATTGTCCATGACTATAAAAAGAACTGAAGTAAATGATCAAAAGAGGTGGCTTTCTTTCCTTGAGGTATGTCTATGTTGCTATCAGAAATGCTTTTTTTGATGCTTCCTCCTATTTTCCTGTCTCAAAATAACTCTCCAGTGAGATAAGTCACAGAGCCATTAACAATAATCTTTCATTCTGTATGAAGCCTTGCATTTTCAAAGTACTTTCTCTGATTTATTTGTTTCTTACAACTGAGAAGGAGCCAAGAAACATAACACTTGCTGTCATTTGACTGCTGGGGAAACTGAAACCCAGAACAGTTCAATAACACATACAAATCACAGAGAACTTTACAAATTAAACCTAGAACAGAGAGTTTACATCTAGATGCTCCCATGCTGCCAAGTTTTCTAATTCACTCATTTATTTTGTGGGCTTTTAACAGTGATAATGAAGTATATTTATAGATCTTGGCTGGGTTTATCTGTCACTTCCTGCACCTGCCCATTGACCAAGTTGGCTAATGAAACTGTTGTCATGCCTTCCCTCCACCCCCCACCTCTGTAGCTATCCTAATGCCTTTTCCTGAAGGTAATCTGTCCTGTAGGGAATCTCAGTCTGTGTTTCCTGGCCCAGGGTCACTGACCTCTCTTGGCTGAGCCACAAACTTATAATAAAGGACCCAAAATGGTGAGCAGATGTGCTACAGAGCCCTCTTCCGGACAATGTACACAGTCTTGCAGCTCCTGGCCCTTGGACATTTTGATTCTAGGTATTTACATGAAAATTGTTTTAATAGGCTAGCAAAATGACAAAAGTACTGCCTGATACTAAGAGACACTAGCAGGAGGAAGTGTGCTAAGATTCAGAGAATGGGCTCTATAATCTCAGTCTGGGGTGTAAATCCTAGCTGTACCCTTTCCTGGCTGTGTAACCTAAGGCAAGAAGCTTACATTTAAAAAAAAAAAGTGTATCATATGGCTAAATCAACCAACCAATCAATCTTAAAAAGTACATAAAAAGATAAAATGAAAAATAAAATGTTCTTTCTCCCATGACTCTCTTATACATACTCCTCATAATCAGCTGCAAGCATATTTTCCATTGGGGGGGCACTGTATGGATATAACTGCATGTATATATGTTGCAAATATACACACATGGCACCATGTTACATGAACTTTTTTTTGGAAGCTGGCACCATGGCTCAAGCCTGTAAACCTAGCTACTTGTGATGCACTTGTAAGGTGGAGATAAGGAGGATCATGGTTGGAGGCCAAGCTGGGCAAAAGGTTTGTGAGATCCCATCTCAACCAGTGGTGGGTATGATGGCATGCATCTGTTATCCCAACTATGCAAAAACAGGAGGATCATGGTCCAGGCTGACCTGAGCATAGAAAATAACCAATACAAAAAGGACTGGAGGCATGGCTCAAGAGGTAGAACACATGCCTACCAAGTGCAAGGCCCTAGTTCAACACCCAGGACTGTAAAAAACAAACAAACACACCTCTTCTTGGAACCTTGATTTTTTTTCACTTCACAATCTTTCTTTAAAAAACAAACAAACAAAAAACATTGTATCTTAGTGATATGCTTTCCCTACATACCAATGAGACCTCTTTCTTTTTTAATAGTTGCATGAAGTTCCATTTGAAGGGCATATAGTAATTTCATCTATATTTATTGGTGAGCATTTAGATTTCGAGATTCTTATCTTCACTATTACAAATAGTACTACCATGCTTTACATTTTAAACTAGATCCACAGGATAAATCTTTCCTTGTAGAACTGCTGATGCAAGGAATAGGTACAAAGTTTTTATTGAATTATCAAACTGCTCCCCACCCAAGAAAAAGATTACCTCACTCTTATTAGTGTTTGAAAGTTTGGGAAACGCACTTCACCTCCCTTAGTCTTCCCACATAGTCCCTTATAAGATGGCAACACAGTAGGCACTCAGTATGGGCTTTCTGATTGGCAGTGTTATAAAATAAATTCAAATTCATTCCTTGTGCTCCATCCTAAAAGGAGCCCAAAATGAACATCCTTGAAGCATAGACTAAAAATATCTGTGGTGCCTGGGTTGTCAATTTCCCCCTATTGTAACATTGCTTAACAAGCCTAACAGCTGAGGATCTATGTGGGTTTAATGGCCGCAGCTTCCTTGATGCACTAGGTAATGAACCACCTCCCCTTATTGCTAAGATGAGCGGAGTCTTTCAGATTTAACTCTTTTTACTCAAGAAAGGGAATAGCTTCATTATTTCCCATCCACTTCCCAAGTAGGGCTTGTGAGGCTGAGAAGCCTGGTATCAGAGAATTCTTCTGATGGTGCTGACATGATCTCAAAACTTGGGCCAGCTCAGTCAGGCCCAGCTTAAGTACTCCCTCCTTTATGTGTGGGGTAATGGAGAAAGAGTTCTAGAAATAGCAGCCAGGGAACTGAAGTCAGGCTGACTGCTACCACTTTGCAGCTTTGTGACTTTGGGCAAATACTGCTTCTCCAAACCTTAGTTTCCTCATGTATAAAACAGGGTTAAATCTGTGTGTGTATGCACCTGTCATCCCAGCTATTCTGGAGGCTGAGGGGAGAATTGCTTGAGCCTAAGGTTTGAGGCCAGATGGAGCTGTTTTCTCAAGAAAACAAAACAGCCGGGTGCCTGTAGCTACTCCTATAAATCCTAGCTCCTTTGGAGGCGGAGAACTGGAAGATTGTGGTTCTAGGCCAGCCTGGAGCAAAAAATTTTGTGAGACTCTCATCTCAACAGGAAGAAGCTAAGTGTGGTGGTGTGTACCGGTCATCCCAGCGATGGCTGGCGGAAAGCTTAAATAGGAGGATTGCGGTGTTCAGGCCGGCCTAGGGAAAAAAGCAAGATCCTAACTCTAAAATAACCAGAGTAAAAAGGGCTGGAAGCATGGCTCAAGCAGTAGAGTTCCTGCCTAGCAGGTGTGAAGCCCTAAGTTCAAACCCCAAAACCACCAAAGAAAACATAAAAGGGAGCTGGGCCAGTGGCTCATGGCTGTAATCCTAGTACTTGGGAGGCAGAAGCTGAGGTCGAGAAGACTGCAGTTTGAGGCCAGCCTTAGCAACTCTTTGCTTAGGACCCCATCTCTAA